ACCGGGTTCAGTTCAGTTCGGGAAGTTCATGTCCGATCAGTTCATGTCAGATCAGTTCCGGTTATTCCGGTTAATTCTAAATATCATGTCAGGTTCAGTAGAGCATCTTAACGTAAATAATCAGTTAAGTAAACAGTCTGAGCATAGTCATTAGTAATTGTTTATATTATATTTCAGTTTGATCAGGTCACGAGTATCAGCACTGCCTTTATTTCACGGATCAGGTGGGGACTCAGACATAGTACTACATTGATTATAATTCTGGTACCATGTTTGAGGTATGTATTTCATGTCATGTATCCGCTCGGAATGGTCGCCGGTCCATTCTGGGTTCTAGTGGCCCTAGTCTGCCCACTAGAGTGTGCACATGGTGTCCGACATTAGTTTGTGCCGGCAGATGAGGTAACGGTCATGGTTCACGTTCACGTGATGATATCAGATTCATGTTCATGTTATTACCGGTTTAATGTTCAGGTTATGTATATGCCAAGATCATGATGTTGTTATTATTTTCAATGTTTACATTAGTATGAGTTTCCACGGAGCACATTGTTATAGTGCTCACTTCCCATTTTATCATGTTTTTTTCAGGTCAGGATGTCGGGCCGGGAGCGTGAGACGACGGATCTGTCAGGACTTTTATGATATGATTGTATATATTATGATGATTTCACGTTTCCGCTGATTTTGACGTTGATGAACTTATGTTTTGACCGGACTTTTGGAAAAATTTATGCTTTCAGTAAATCGTATGATTTTGTTAAAAATTAAGATAACAGTTTTCCAAAATAAGTCACGTTTTACGGTAGCACCCCGAATCAGTTTTCGCAAAGTAAAAGATTTTATTTTTAAATAACTTTGTGAAATTTTCGCACTCTGATTTCACGATAAGGCGGGGTGTTACAATTGGTATCAGAGTACGTTTTTGCGTCTCTGAAAAGTTTTTCAGTCAGTAATTTTCAGAAAAACCTGAACCGTCATGCTCACGCCCCGCCGACTACAGGTAAGTGTTGATTTAAGTTTTCAGTTATAAACATATTACTTTGTCTATGCTCAAAAATTATGGATCAGGATTTAGTTAAGATGCTCAAATCAGGTTCAGACTTTAGAGTTCAGATATGACTCTAGAATTCAGTTATGACTCTAGAATTTAGTATCTTCCGATATGACTCTAGAGTTCCTCAGGATTCATGTCAGTATTTATCGGCCATTTTTAGCTACTCGTCAAGAGATCTGTATGCTTAAGTAATCAGTCCGAATATTATCACGTATTCAA